ATAAGGAATTTAAGGACAAAGATTGCCGCGAGGTGTACCGATACAAGACGTTGTTCGGGGACGTTTTCGACAACGACAAGTACGCAGTGACTCCAAGTAAGCTTTCTCGCACAGGCTTCTCAATGCTCGACGATAGTGCTACTGAAGATCACCGTGACGAAACCCCAGTGGAGGTCGAGAGCGGTGGCTCAAGCGACGAGGCCGTCGAACCCGAACCGGCAGTCGCCACCATGGATATGTCAGGCCCGCACAGTGGTGACAAGCGAAAAGCAGGTAGAGAGCGAACTAAAGAGAAGAAGAAAAAGATGTTTGCGAAAGACAGGTCGTACTCATTGGATCGTGCAAACATTGCTAGCGAGAAAGTGGCAGCCAAACTTGACCAGTTAATTGGTCCGTCTGTATCCGACACGAAAACATGCTTACAGGAGTTATTGGGCACGGGTCGACTACTAAGGGGATCCGATTTCTACTACTGGACGTGCTCATTCCTGAAGGGTAAACGTAACAGGGAGATCTTGGACGCACAAGACGATGCAAACTACAAGATCGGATATGTGGAGTGGGTCTGGCAGAATCATCAAAAGGGGCTGCCATAGTCATGTGCTATGTTCATGTAAAACTAGCTATTAATTATTCTATATTTTCTTGTTTGTAATGTTTACATTGTAGTATTTGAATATGCGACACTATATTGTACGTGTTTAATTGTGGTTTGCAGTAGTGTAATGACATTTGCTGTTGGTGGGCCATGCCATTTCTATTTTCATTTGTTGAAATGGTCACTGCCCTTATGTCATAATTGAAGAAGTTGGCATGTGAAGTACCTTGAAAACTTATTTTCCATGTGCTCTATTATACGTGTGACCTATAATTGTGATTCCTGTACTTCCTCAGCATGCTTTCAAACAACAAAAGGCTATGGACCTATTTCTTTTTTCAGCTGCAGATGGGTACTTTTTATTCTGCAAACATCAAACACTCACATGTTTTGTTGCTCTCTGTCACGGGTTTTATTTCAATGTCGTCCAGTGACTCCTTTCCAGTTGCCTATAAAGGGCTAGGGAATGCTACATTATTTCACATCCTTCTGTTTTCCACTTCTCTATTTTGCAAAACAAGAGTGAGGGTATGACGCATTACAATTTGAACTGTACTTTGCAAGAAATATCCGATGGCGATGTTGCAGATGATGACACGGCATCTACAGAAGAGCTGTTGGTGGATATTATAGAGTGGCTCCAATATTGCAATATCAATGACGTGGATTTACGTTACTATCGTGTGCAACAACGTCGTATTTCTCGCTATCCATTTATACGAAACGGGCACATGTTTATGCTTG